CATATATCACGGTGCGCACCCGATGCCTCTTCAAAACTGGATGCTCAAAGGCATAACAGAACAAAAAGAGGAGAAGAAGTAACATGAATTTTTATCCATTCAGGTGGGATGTATAAGAGAGTGACCAACCAGTTTGTTATGTTAGTTTCACCAAACAGTTTATCAACCTTCTTCTCGTTCACTAGCTGTGAATTCTGGCGGAAGGTCCCGGTAGTTCGTCCATTTAGACTTTTGGCTCTAACCTGGACATGAGTTTTGCATGTGCGTCCATTTTACTGGCTTATTTGTTTGCGGTTCCCTGCCTCACCGGCAGATGTACTCTGACTTCGAGGGAGTGTGATAAATAAATGACCATAGACTCTGACCAAATGTTCTGACAACATCGCAGAAAAAACATCTGTCAAATAATAATAACAGTCAAACTGGCAAGCTGCCAAAAAAAAAAAACCTGGATCCAAGAGATCAACACTTCAAATACAATACTGGTTCAAGTTTTTGAAACTGACATGAAAATAGCAGCAGTTTGGAGGGTCAACATGGCCACCCTAGCTTCCTAGGACATTTTAGGGTCCTCGTTTAGGGCTGGTCTGGCCCAGGAACCAAGATACTCTCTAGGTTTAGGTTGAAACAGTGGGTCATCATGACACAAGGGTAAAGGGTCAAGGTCCCTTTTCCACAGGAATCAAGCGCTAGACCTATATTTTTATACTATCAGCACTTAGTGGGTGATGTGGTCAGCATCCCGCCTGCAGCCTTTACTTCCCAGGAATGCACATGGTACCCACTCAGGACTGGATCGACCTGGGTGTCGCTAGAAAAGTCACTTCATCAGGATGCAAACCCACGACCCTCCGATCCAGAAGAGGGGTGTCTAGCCGCCAGTGCCACAGCGACTTCCAATAGCACAAGGGTAGTAACCCATAAATGCTCCCTTCTACTTCTAACCAAAGCCTGAGTCTAAAGAATATCAGCGCAGTGCATGAACTTTGTAGCACCAGCGACGGTCCTGAAATATGTTGGGTAGATTTTTAATTCAAAATTTTACCTGGGCAGCGCTGTTAGGCTACTCTTTTTCGATTTCCAACTGCCAAAAGATTTTTTTATGTGCGCAAAAATACACACAAACATCTAATCTTACTACCCAGAAACTAGGGGAAATTACCAGAAGTCCACTTGAAAAAATCCCAGCCTTCACCGGGGTCTGAACCGGATGCCATGCATCGAGACTACTCAGCTCCACCCCCCACCCCCAAGACACCAAACACTCTGCATACCAGTTTCTTTACAATACTTTATGGCAATTTAAAGTCATTTCCGCTATTAAAATTTGTTTTAGCTAAACAAACAAGAATTTCAGACACTTATGAATCATGAGACTCTAATCATTTTTAAGATATTCACTGCATTTGAATAATGTCATAACCCAGTTTGGTGAAATATGCATTACTAATTTAGGAAGAAAAAAGCATAACATCTTAAATTACAAGATCCAAAATGAACATAGGTTTCATACATTCAGCAATGGATAAATATAATGAAAAAAAACATTTTAAATTACCTAAATCTACAGAACTGTGCTAAGTTTTAGTGTTTTGAGAATTCAAACACAAATACCACTGGACAAAATAACAAACAAACAAATGTTATTATAGTCAATTATAAATTAACTGCAATTCAGAACCACTACCCCCCTTCCCCCCCCCCCCACCCTTTCTTCTCACAAACTAACTGTCCACAATGTATGAAATTCACGCGCATTAAAACTCATTTTGTCCTTAACACATAATTTTCTATATAATCTCCGCCCACTTCTATGACCTAATGCAAATGCAAAACAAGGACAGGTAAGCCTTGTCTATTATTAGGGTGTTACTTTTTCGGGACCCCACTTGAGGGGAAGAAAGATTTGACTGACTGCCTCCTTAACAAGCATGTCATAAGAGTTAACTACTCAGGGGTTTCCTTCAAGGTGCAGCTGCCTGAGAGGTGAGGAACCAACAGTCTACATACTAATACACCAGATCTGTGAAACGGGTGTACACACAAAACTTAATACTGAAGTCCAGAAGCGGATGAACAACCAGAACTTTCAACCAGAGTTTACAGCTGGTGAAAGCAAAGAAGAGGATTTCTCCACAGCATGAATAACATCTTCAGGTCTGTTTCTGTAAAGTTTTAACTCTCTGAACCCAGTGGCCAACGGTGCTCTTTATCAGCTGCACAACATCCATACATACAAACACTTATGAATGTTCACCATAATCCCTGTTTCCACATCTATAAATTCTACAAGAAGTTGCTGTGTGTAACACATACTGTCCTCGCCCTTCATGTCATTACAACAATGCAGTTGTTGTTGTGTTTGACAGATTGAGTTGCTATTTGATGAGTACACAATACTGACATACTTTGTATAGCTATATAGCTTTAATCAAGGCCATACTGTATAGCTATACACTTTATAGCTTTATAGCTTTAATCAAGGCCATACTGTATAGTTATACACTGTATAGCTATATAGCTTTAATCAAGGCCATACTGTATAGCTATACACTGTATAGCCATATAGCTTTATTCAAGGCTACTGGTGACCCCAGGAAAGAGCCCGTAGGCCAAAGCTGTTTATGTTGTGGACTAACATAAGGTTGAGGCTAAGTGTCACCCTTTAACCCTACCAGACCGCTGGCCCGATTTTCCGGGAATTTCTTAACCTGACGCTATACCGCTGGCCCTAATTTTCGGCTTTTTGCGTAGTAAGGGGAAAAGATGCGTCACGGACTAAAAATAACCACCTAATTGTTATCAATCCTCTTTGTCAGACATTGCAAATGTCTGCCTGCATGCGTTTGGACAATGTGTTGTTTTAAGTGAAAAAATTCTGAAAATTCACAATGAAACGAGTGGCTGATGAACCAAGTTCTAGGCTTTTCACAGTCCAACAGGTGATCGATACTTTGGTTTATTCAGACTCTGCGGAGTGATAATTTCATAAAGAATACGTTCTTGAAGTGACACTATCAGTGAGAGTGCGAATGATGAGGAAAATCTTGAAAATTATAAATCTTGAGATAGATTGATAGTAGGAGGGGGGTGTGTCCCTCAAACGGCAACATCTGGTGTTCACTTTGTGAAACAAAGTTGATCCTGATGAGTGGATTCAGACACAAAGGTGGAAGATTGGCACTAGATAAAAGGTAAGCCTATTTTCTACAATGTCTCCAAGTTTCATCATTTTCTAGCCACTCGTTTGCATGTAGCTAATATTTTTGTATATCAAGTTGGTTTTTTCGCGGTAATGCCCAGGAGCTCAGGTTATAGGGACAGTTAGGTCCAGGGCCTCAGGTCTAGTAGAATTAAGGTGATGCCGCCTGGGAAGTATACCAATGGGTATCTAGGAACATTAGAGGGACAGTAGCTCTGTAATCATTAATGTGTTCGCTAACAATAAAGAGACAGATGCACTATTATAGAGATGACTTGTGATGTTGTTGACACAGTTATCGGTGTTGGTGGAACAATGTGACTGTGTGTAACTGTGTTTTCTAAGCACCCTCTGATAGGGAACCCAATTAGTCTTCTCCGGTGCATCATGCACTTCAGATACAGTAAACAGGGGAAATTTAAATATCATCTGGCAAACAAGTTTTTAACGCACAGAAATTGCCCCATCATCAACAAAGCAAATCAAGAAATAAAACAGAAAACATTAAAGGAAATAAAAGCAGCTGATTAAAGATTACAGGAAACATTAATTTGTCCCAGGAAGCCCCAAAACAGACTTTATCTATCATTGCCACATGCCTGCATAATAAAAAAAAACTATCTTGTCTGTAATCAACTTCACGATGCTCCATGCAGAGTGGCAAGCATCACTTCAGAGGTCCCAGGTAGTTAGCATATTTTGGATATTCTCTCAAGGTTATGCCGGTGTGTTGGGAAATAAGCAGGTAGACAGACTGGCCGATTCTACACCTCTTGATGGTGAACTGATGTATGACAAGCAAGATGTTGTGAGGGCCGTTTAAGATCGAGTGAACAGTGCGGAAGCACAAACAGATCATTACGGTTTGAGGAGAACGGCACTGCAAGGAGTTACCAGGGGATCTAGCCGATGCTCAACACTTAAGGGAGAGGCGAGATGGATATGCAATCAGACAGTTACTGCTGCCATCGGAATTGGAACGCTTTGTTTGCTGCTGAAAATGGAGACAGAGCATAACATGACAATCAGCTTATGGGGGTGTCCCGAGTGCTATATTCTTAATTCAACATTCAATTCAGTCACCTTGTTAATGAGAAGTGAGTGAATATTAAAGGGTTGGTGTCTATGCAGCAGCATTTAGGATCACCAGTTATAAATAAAGATACTAAACATAACATGCTGAGAATGTGAAGGCAGAAAGGGGGGAAAGGATCGTGTGAACCAAATGGCCATTTTTAAAGATTTGTTGACATAAAATTATCCTGTAAGCCTCAGTGACAGAGGTCAAGGGGTCACAACAAGAGCCACCTGATATATATTTATTTCTACCCAAGAACATTATATAGTGCTACACTCTGAGTTTAATGATCACTCCCTTTACATACCTTGAAATGTTTCACACCACACACGCACAAAAAGATTAAAATGTAGATAAATTGATTTTGAAAAAAACAGTGGCCTATGTAAAACTGTTTGGGATGGGAAAGGTGGGGGATTGGGGGGATTCCCACGCATCTTGTCCCAATTGTGTTAGCTTTCCCAGGGCAAAAGGTAAGCAAACAACTGCAGAATACTATGGCTAAAGTAAAAATGGCAACAAGAGGGCTCACAGTTTCTGGTAAATAACTCTGTTACAAATATCCTGATTACATTCACCACAATGAATTAAAATGATGAATACATTTTCTCAAACAATCACTTTGATTCCATGAACAAATATTCCATCTGGCACATTATTTACATCAGCATTGTGAAAAACAAACTTACAGTATATACAAAGGTCAGTCGTCTGGCTGCACTAGCTGACCACACAGCTCTTTCTACAGTTCATTGGAGGCGACTCACATGGGTTCAAATATTTGACTTTCTTGTGTTTGTCCCGGTGGACAAAGTTCAACATTCGAGCCCGTGTCTTGTTGGTCAGTGCGTAGGACTTGAGGTGGGACTTGATGCTGTTGGGCAGGGGCAGTTGCTCGATGCCGTAGATTGTCGTACAGGAGACTACGGTCCGGCATGCCAGTTCCTGGAGGCTGAACACTGCAATGAACAAATTCACACTGAAACAGCCAATGTCCTTGATATCTAGCACATCGTCTTCTTCTTTGCTGAACACTCCAGCCGAAAGTACTGGTTGTCAGTCCACTTTAGGACGTTGATCAGTTTCCAGGACTTGGGTGTTGCATGCATATCTATGTTACAGATACAATTTATGTGTGTGCAGACTGTTGGTTGAGACAAATGCGCTCAGCAGCATCTGCATCCCATCCAGCATAACATGACAATCAGCGATGGTGGCACAGTGATTAGTGTTTCTGCTTACCAACACGGCGGTTTATCAGGCTATCAAGTGGGAGACATGGACACCCTCAACCCCCCCCCCCCCCCCCTAGCTGTCAAAAGCAAAAATAAACATCCTAACATACATTATCTATGATGTGATGACAGCACTAGGCATGTGGCCCTAAATACTTAGGCTCATGACTCTCCTGTCTATGTAGCCCTAAAACAAGTGGTAATTATGGACAGTAATGACAGTACAGTTCACGCAGTAATTGAGGTTCAACCCGCAGAAGCGCCTAGATTCTTTCCTAAACCAGTACGGAAACTTTTGGGTTGCCATAGCTTTACAGTGTGGGCGCAAGATAATTTTCTAAGTCTTGTTAGCAAAGTAAAGATATCATGAAAGAGAGTGATTCACCCCACTTCATTACCATAGCCTCATACAAGTGAAGATCTAACACTTCCAACCCATATGGCAATATATGCCTATTGATTATCTGTACCACTACCAACTAAAAGTGGTGAGTGAGCTGACTTACCAGCACTGTGATCTTACTCTACTTCTACAATGTTTCCCAGAAAACAATACTGTATCTTATATTTATTTTTGCTCCAAAAGACACTCTAGGACCTCTTCTTCTTCTTCTTTATTCAACGGCTCCACTGGAAAATGCTGGTTGTTATCAATCTGGACTTTGGCTTTGTGCCAGGGCCTGAGTTTTGTGTGTACATCCATTTTACTGGCTTATCTGTGTGCAGCTAGTTGTTCCTTGCCGCTCGGGCAGATGCACTCTGACTTCGAAGAAAGTCCCCAATTTGTCAACTCATTCGACATGCTTACTGGGGTAAGCAGTGGGTCTATTCTTGTTTTTCCCCACAACAGAATCCGGGAAAACCACATGGGGAGGGTTAATTCTAAAGGGTTGTCCTAATTTTACTGTATGAACAAATACCTGATTATAATTTATATCAGTTTAAAGCAATATTGGTCCAAAAAAATGTATTTATACATTTATAATTCAAAATGTGCGGTGTCCGTGGCTTAGGCATTGCGAGTCCGACTCGTAATTCTAGCGCGATCGAAACCCACTGCTGGCTGCGTGGATTTTTATCATGGCATGGGGCGTCGCGGGTGACCCAGCCTAAAATGGGTACCAGGATAATGTCCTGGGGAAGTAAAGATGGCCGGCGTAATGATGATCATATTACCCACCTAGTGCTGATTGGTCTGTAAAAATATGGGTGCTCTTCCCATATGCCCGATGCGCCTAAGGCGTAAAAATGGATCTTTACTTATTCAAAATGTCTTCATGTGTTTCAAAGGGCAAACAAAATCTGTCCACCTGGCTGACCGGCTTAACTAGGGGTAGGGCGTATATTATGAATGTTCCGAAAAATGATGCCAACGCTTATTTCAGGTCAGGTACTAGCTTTTGGGAAACACTGTAGTTGTTGCAACATATTTCTCTCTGATCATTAGGACTGTGGGCCAAGCCAGATTATTCAAATTAGGACTGTGGGCCAAGCCAGATTATTCAAATTAGGACTGTGGGCCAAGCCAGATTATTCAAATTAGGACTGTGGGCCAAGCCAGAAAATATTCAAATGCAGGACTGTCAACTGTGGGCTAACAGAAAAAGCCAGCAATTATTCAAATTAGGACTGTGGGCCAAGCCAGATTATTCAAATTAGGACTGTGGGCCAAGCCAGATTATTCAAATTAGGACAGTGGGCCAAGCCAGATTATTCAAACAAGCAAAGACTTGTCTGAGAAAGTCCAATAATCAAAGTACTAAAACAATCAAAGTCTACTCCACAACACTGTCAACTATAGGATGCTAACAGAAAAGCAAGCAATCTGGCCTGCTCCAACCTCAATCAAGACAAAGCTGTGTGGTACAAGGGGAGGTATGGTTTGCACGATGGCTTTCATCAAGGATACCAGTCTCCTGGTACAAATTTTCTGATAGAAGGATCGAAGAATAAAGTACTTCTGCACTACACAGTAAAGGACCGGTTTATGCCAGTGGTACAATGAGCATGTGGTGCTAGATAAAACCTGGTTTTTTACTAATATCCTACCCCAGATGACGTCACAGTACAGTCCAACATTTTAGAGGGTGGTAAGATCTGGTTTCCCGGCTTTCTGATGCTTTTAACGACCCTAGAACATCTAGAACTGGCACTTACACCAACCCACCTATGTCCCGCAATCGAGTGCAGCCTAGGTCCCATGACTGCATGCAGCCTAGGTACCACGACTGCATGCAGCCTATCTACCACCCCCTGAAATATTAGACTGTCCCGTGACCTGTGGATTTCCCGTTTGGGGTAGGATATTAAGAAAAGCACCAAAAGTGCTACTGACGCTATCCATATCCCCAATACAACCATAAACCCCTGCATGATATAATTATTCTCTGTAGGTCTTATATATTTTTTCGTTTTACAGATCAAGTAGCACTCAGTTACAAGATGATGTGGTGCAACTTCATGGTGATTCAACAATGGCAACCGGGTCGCCTTTGGCTGGTCGGCAAACCACTTTGTCACCAGTCAGGACAGTATTTAGGTCTGTCTCCTTTGATTGCATCAATACTGAAGTCCTGTTCCAGGCTACATTTAGCGGGCAATGCTAAGCCATTTTTAAATGGCGCAAATAATCTGGTCACAATTATAAGCAAAAGCTCCCCATTTGGCGATGCTGGCTGAATATGAAGATTATTTTTCCCCGCAAAGCCAGGCAAGACTCCAAGGTGATTGCCTTTACTTCTCCTACTAATTTCTGGTACCCATTGTCACTGGATTTTGATCTTGATTAGTTTTTAAAAAATTGTTGAAAATATTTCTGCTTTATTTGTGACTTTCTTTATCTGCTCCCTACACAGATATCATCATTCTCCCCGTGTGGGTACCAGGCCCATTGTGGGGGAAAACCAGAATAGATTGACTGCTTTCCCAACAAGCATGTCATGAGAGACGACTGATTGTGGGCTTCCTTCGAAGTCAAAGTGCATTTGCCAGAGCGACAAGGAACCAACAATCTGCATACATTAAGTCAGATCTGTTAAACGGATGTTCACGCAACACTCAGGTTCTGGAACAAGACTTAAAGTCCAGAGGCAGACAAACAACCAGAACTTTCCACCTGGAGTGTACAGCTGGTAAACGCGAAGAAGAAGCGATTTCATCAAAACACATATACAAAGTGTTATAAATTACAGAATGAGACACCTTCATCTCTCCCATCTTCCAATTACCAACATAAATGATTTAAAAAATAAAATAAAGGGGTCTGAATGATATTCAACACTGATGGGGAAACAGGGGCAGACCTTTATTCAGACTGTTCTCTATGAGCATGACTTCTTTGTTGGCTACTGAAGAAGGAGACGGAGCACATGTGGGAATGCCCTGAGTACAGTGATGTCAATTCTTGATTCACTCGTTCTTTCATTCACTAAAGAACAAACTGCTACTTACCTCTGTTGAAGCCGAATGCTCTACTCATTCCATTTCTCTTCAAAGCCAAACGAGACAGTTCAGCAAACGACTCCGTGACATTAAAGTCGCACAGGGGACTCACTTCAAAAAATGCCATGTTGTTTTTCTCCGCGTACTGCTCCGCACATGCTTCGCTGATCTGGCGGCGAAAGGCCAAGTGGAGGCGGTTTCCCACCAAAATCTTAGGAACACCTGGGGCATGCTGGGAACAGCAGACAGAAGAAAATATGAGATCATGTGCCCCAATTATTCTGAACTTGTTCTTCTTTATTGTGTTCCCCAGTTGTAAAGTCCAGCAGAAAGCCCAGGTTGTTCATCCACTTCTGAACACTAGTCCTTTACCCAAGGCTTGCTTTAGTTTATATGTTTAACAGATCTGGTACATTTATGAGCAGACTGCTGGTTCTCTCGCCTCTCTGGCAGATGTATTCTGACTTTGAAAAACATGTCGATCCCATCTATGCTGGTGAGGCTCCTGGTCAGAAACCTGCTGCCAGGATGATGATGGAGAGGTGCAGACAAGTCTTGGCCAATATGTGCCCTGGTCGTGGTGCACCACTACAAGTTGTTGAGCTCCTCTGCACCTTCCCCCAGCTCTTAACAAAACACACAACTTCTTTGTAAAAAATATGCAAGAGTTAAACAAAATAAACACATATTTCACAATCAACTATGACTTTAAACAAAGAACAAATAGCATTATTTCTTCTTCTTCTTCTGCGTTAATCCGAAGATATAATTGCGTTGTGTCAGTTTACAGCATGGCTGCGATATTTGCACCTTTCGGCCAATACATCCGATTTTTGTGGGCATTTGTTGACCGGGTTAGCCTTCTCGGATACTATTATTTAAGAATACACAAAATATACAGGTGTCGAAAAAAATTATATCATATTTTAATATCAACACTGATTTATAAAATAAGACAACAGCCATTATTTAAGACACAAAAAAAAATTCCATATTATGAAACAACTTAGTGACACGTGTTTAAACCTTGTTGGAAAGGAGTGCATGGATGACAGAGAGATAAATATAGCTTGACCACAAGGTGAAATGGCTAAATATGAACACTGACATGATCCAAGACTCAGGCTATGTGAGTGTGAATCAAGCGTATTGGAATGGCAGATGTTGGCGAGGAGTAATAACCACGGTAATTTCACCCCAGATGAAATCATCTTTATAGATGGCGCAGTGCTGAAAGGCAGTAGAAGTGAATGGGGGTTCAAAGCAAAACTAAAGGGACGTCGCTTAGGTCAACAAAGCCTGACATGACACCACGATATCTAGTTTGAGAATGGAGGTAGAGGCAGTCACTGCAGCCTTCTGCTGGCTTGGAAAACCTGGTATACAAACATTGTAATTGCAACTGACTCACAGAGCATGTTGAAAATTGTAGAGACAGGTTCCGAGTAGTAAGTATACTTTGGATATTTTCTCCAGGAATGCGGGTGTGTTGGGAAAGAATAAGCAGATAGGCTGGCAGGTTTGGTGGTGAACTGATGCACGATAAAAGCTAGATGTTGCAAGGGTCTCTGGCAGTGAGTAAACAGTGCAGGGGACAAACAGATCATCCTGGTTTCAAGAGAATAGTGCTGCACTGAGTGACCTGGGAATCTAGCCGATGAACAACACTCACAGGAAAGGTGAGACAGATATACACCCAGGTAGTACAGGAAATGGAACTCTGCACCTGCTGCTGAAGATAGGGGATGTAGCGCTTATGATAATGTCCCCAGTGCTACATTATTGATTTTTTTTTTTTTACATTCATAACCAAACAAACGAGTAGCTGATAAATAAAAACTGTTAATACTTGTGAAATACCTCATCGATTTCTTTGATCCATCTGTCAATGCCATCAAAAGACCACTTGTTTGTAATATCATAGACCAGGAGAATCCCCTGCAACACAATTATGGCACACTTTAATTTACATCTCATAGTCTGTGTAGGTTCCTAAATTCATGTACAGCGGGGAAATCAACACTTGGTTCAGCGAACCTGATGGGGGGCACCGGCAACGAGCTGTGGGGTGTAAAGAGCACAATGAGGCGTGTAAAACACCCTGGCTACCAACACTGCACCCAACTCCATCTCCAGTCGTCTCAACTTGTCCTTTCACTCGCCACAAGCGAGAGAATGAGGTCAACAACATTGTGCAACACAGGTGCCTCATTCTCTCCAGACCATAATAATCTTTCTCTACTGATTCCGCTGCTTGTTCCCAAAGGGCCTTGACCACATCTGCCTTGTCATGTATCAATTCACCACCCAGTGGTGCAGATCCAGTCTGTCTGCCTGTTTATTTATTACCAGAAGTAAAGAACCCTTTGCCACGTTTTCAATCGTACTGGGCATATAGTGCCCCATCTAGCCTATCCTCTGAGTAGCGGTCCCAAATTATCGAGGCCAAAAATATACCCTAATAGGGTATCTAGTATAGCCCCACTCCGCGCCGCTTAGCGGCACGGGAGATACACTCGGCGGTGGCAGTACTCGCCGGACATCCGCAATTTACATGTGACTGAGGCCCTGTTAGGGTATATTTTCGGCCTCAATAATTTGGGGCCGTTATTCAGAGGATAGCCCCCGATCTATATTTTACAGACCAGTAGGCACTCAGTGGGTGATGTGGTCAACATCACGCTGGACCCAGGACTTGACCTTATACCCTGTAAGGCTGGGTCCACCTGAGAGCCAAGGCCACTGTTGAACAAAGTATAGCTCTGTTCAGTTTCGGAAACCCATAACCTTTAGATCCTCAGATGCATGTCTATTTGCTACACCATGTCGGCTCCCTAATAACAGGATTAACTGTTTTCTCATACAGTAAAATCAGTGAATAAAATAATAACTGTGAAATAAAATGAAGAACAAACAGTCACAATGTGTGCTACCATGAACAATTAACACTAACAGAAAGTAAAAAAACCGAATAAAAACTGAAACATAAAATACAATTAACAACAACTAGTTAGAACAGTGATTCCCAAACTGTGCGCTGCAGCACCCTGTGGAGCCGCGACCTTTCACAGGGGTGCTGTGAAATATTGTAAAAGCTTCATAATTAATGTAACCAAGACACGAATAGTCATACTTTTACCTAGGTTAGGGCGCCGTGGAAAAATTTTAATTTTAAAAAAAGGTGTGACCAATAAAAGTTTTGGAAACAATAGTTAAAACAATGAACAACAAATTGACAGAAAGAAAAAAAACTAAATGTAAAAAAAAAAAAAAAAAAAATTTTTAACAACAAATATGCAGAATGTAAAACTGTAAAATGGTCCAAAGGACGTTGTGTAAATAGACGAGCGATTTTACAACAAATATCATTTAGATAGAATAAATAGACAAACATAAAAGCTGAACAACAAACATTCTGTTACCTGAGCTCCTCTAGAATATGACCGTAAAATTGTACAGAAACGACCTTGCCCAGAGGTCACCCTAGAAAAGACAATACAGATTTGAAGCAAACTCATTCCCATGAACTATATGAAACTGTAGTTAGTTCCACGATTATCTCCTCAGCCGAACTAGGTCACGCTCCATTGATACATTTTTTAGACTCGTCTGTTGTCCGGGGGGTTACGGTTATGTTGTTTCCTCTCTGGTTTGTCTTGCACTTAGGTTTTTCTTCCGAGAAAGAGAATGCCTGTGACAGAGGTTGCAACACTCTCTAGGGGGGTTGTGGGTTAGACTGAATGTTTCTGTAATGTTAAAAGCACTGGCATGCTTAAATATACAACACGCCATATCAAGGGCATTGCCGAACACCCCCCTAGCAGTATGCGAAGGTCGGGTGACTGAAGGTCGACCAATCAGAAGTGAGCTGGTGGGGAGATTATCGTGGAACTGACCAAAACTGTTTGTTTGGTGTGGTGTGACTTCCGTATGGATGTAACTACACCTATCATAAAGTGTTTAAACACATCCCTAACACCTGTAAATTTTCACTGGCTAATGGGAGTGTCTCCAATGCTGTGATGTCAATTCTCAACTCCATTCAAGCAACACATTAATAGAAGCTCTAGTTCCAGTGTGTACGTTACATTCTGTTAAAGAGGGCACTGTCATCTAGTTCAGCATTTCTCAAGGTTTTTTCCACTGTGGCACCCTTGTCGGGAAAAAAATTGTTGTGGCACACCTACTCTTAAAGCGGCTTGAATACGTAGAAAAAGAAGGAAAAAAGGGCAAATTTGATATTCAGTTGTCTTTAATGCGAAGAATGAAACTGTTTGGATGAATTTTTTATTACTTCCTTTATGTTTATGGGAAGTTTAGTTAACTGTACCCCCAAATCACTTGAAGGTTGCTACAGTATCTGGTTGTTTTTTTTTTTTTTTTATGTAAGCTTACGTTAAGAATGCACTGCAGCCTTGCCAATAGCCCTATATTCTGATTGCACCTGCATCCAGAACTTTTTTTGTCTTCCTTCAAGGTATTTCTGTTTTAAACTGCTGTCTTCGCTGACCTCAAGCATCCAGAACTCTTCTTGTCTTCCTTCAAGGTATTTCTGTTTTAAACTGCTGTCTTCACTGACCTCAAGCATCCAGAACTCTTCTTGTCTTCCTTCAAGGTATTTCTGTTTTAAACTGCTGTCTTCACTGACCTCAAGCATCCAGAACTCTTCTTGTCTTCCTTCAAGGTATTTCTGTTTTAAACTGCTGTCTTGGCTGATCTCAAGCATCCAGAACTCTTTTTTGTCTTCCTTCAAAGTATTTCTGTTTTAAACTGCTGTCTTGGCTGATCTCAAGCATCCAGAACTCTTCTTGTCTTCCTTCAAGGTATTTCTGTTTTAAACTGCTGTCTTCACTGGTCTCAAGCAGATTATGAAAAATTCTTTATTATTGCTGTGGCACCCCAAGAGGAACCCAGTTTCAGAACTGCTGATATAGTTAACTCAATCCGTACCAATCCACTGCCCCTATTTCTGTCAGTTTCTATTTTTTATACAGTAAAAAAATCGTTAACACAAATTCCAAGGTACCCCCACACACAAAATATCAATAATTCATGTCAACAAAGTTCAATGCTAACAAGAGGACTCAAATTAATACATTACAGTTCCTGTTTGAGTTACGGGGCCACATTTAGGAGAAAGCAGAATAGACTTCTTGACCCCTTAACAAGCACGTCGTAAAATTTGATTAACTAGGGTGTTTTCTTTAAAGTCGGAGTGCATCTGCCAGAAAGGTAAGGAACCAAACCAACAGTTTGCATACAAATAAACCAGTCTATAAAACGGATCTGCACGCAGAACTTGAGTTCTAAAACAATACTAAAGCCAAGAAGTGGACGAACAACCAGAACTTTATGCAGAAGTTTACAGCTGATGAATGCTAAGAAGAAGAAGACACTGTGGAAGAGATGGGGCCTCAACGCATCATATTCTCAAAGACAGTAGTGGGTAGACTGAATACAACTTTTACTGTGGAGATGGCACACAACTTTTTTTTTGAAAGTAATAATTATAGGCAACCGTTAGTTCCTAGGCACACTGGAGCCGTGCAAACCAACTTTACATCCCCAAAACAATCATTGATGGATGTTGACCAGGAAGCCTAAATCAATGTTAAAAAACGAGTCTCAGTGCAGACTGAACCGATTACCGCCAGGCAAGCGAACAAAGCCACTAAAGCTGAATTATCTTCTTCCTTCATCTAACGGAACTGCTGTGCTGTAGCGACTAAGCGCTCATCTGTGGATCGGAAGGTCATGGGTTCATGTCACGACAGAACCAGACTTTTTTAATATATTTTTTTTAAAAGACCTTGGCTCCCAGGTCAACCAAATCTTGAATGAACCAATAACCCCCAGGCAAGCAAACAAGCCACCAAAGCCCAATTATATTCTTCACTCATCTGACAGCACAGCCATGGTGTAGTGAACCAGGTGTGCTCATCTTATCAAACCAATTTTGCCTGTGTGTAAAAAATGACCTATGCTCCCAGGTCGATCCAGCCTTATATGGGTAGCAGGTACAAACCTGGAAAGTAAGGTTTGGCTGATATGGGTAGCAGGTACAAACCTGGAAAGTAAGGTTTGGCTGATATGGGTAGCAGGTACAAACCTGGAAAGTAAGGTTTGGCTGATATGGGTAGCAGGTACAAACCTGGAAAGTAAGGTTTGGTTGATATGGGTAGCAGGTACAAACCTGGAAAGTAAGGTTTGGTTGATATGGGTAGCAGGTACAAACCTGGAAAGTAAGGTTTGGCTGATATGATGTTGGCCTCATCACCCACTGAGTGCCGATTGGTCTTTAAAATATAGGTCTAGCCCTATATGCCTAAAAGCGTGGAAGAGGGTGCTTTACTTTAAAAACTTTATTCATCTCAGGACATAATTGTAGTCTGTTCATTTACAGCACATATGTAACATTTGTGTCTTTCAACCTAAAACATCTGACTTTTTTTAGGTATCACTTTTTCAGGTATCAGTTTCCCAGGTATCCTTCACGGGGTCCCAGATCTGAATTATCACACTGAAAATGAAAATGCAAGATTGGGGGAAAGGACTACTCACCACAGCTGCAGTTTGACTCGCTTGCCATCTAACAGAATTGTCGTAGTTTTGTAGTCAATGCCTAAACATAGACAGACAATGAGACAATTATTGACAAATCACTGTTTATAATAAGTACTAAAATATGACAAATCCATGTCTGTAATATGTACTAAATTATGACAAATCAATATCTGTAATAAATAAAATATGACAAATCCATGTCTGTAATATGTAATAAAATATGACAAATCAATGTCTGTAATATGTAATAAAATATGACAAATCAATGTCTGTAATATGTAATAAAATATGACAAATCCATGTCTGTAATATGTACTAAAATATGACAAATCCATGTCTGTAATATGTAATAAAATATGACAAATCAATGTCTGTAATATGTAATAAAATATGACAAATAAATGTCTGTAATAAGTACAAAATATGACAAATCAAATGTCTGTAACAAGTACAAAATATGATAAATCAAATGTATATAATTAGTATTAAAACATGACAAATAAATGTCTATAATAAGTAATAATCTATGACAAATTAATGTCAACAAGTACAAAACATGACAAATCAAAGTTTATAATAAGTACTAAAACATAAGAAATCAAAGTCTGTATTGAGTAATAAAATATGACAAATCAATGTCTATAATCAGTGCAAAATATGACAAATCAATGTCTATAATAAGAACTAAAATAGGACAAACAAATGTCTATAATATGTTCTGAACACAACACAATGTGACTAGACAGGTTAATGGAGGCGAAATGGAAGAGATGAGCACAAATACAAGTGAACAGTTTTGACTAAAGCCTCTATCAATGAAGTACTCAATACAACAACACAAACTGTGTCTACAAAAAGCACAAGACAACTGAGCTTTTAAACAATGTGTCTACAAAAATATATGTTACTAGATATAGACAAAAATGGGCTATACTACAAATAAGACAACATCTGAATGGGGTTGGGGAGTATTCACAATGTTAACTGCCCCTTAACACAGAGCGCAGTTAAACATGTTGACCAGAAATCAGATGTCACTGAGGAGTGTGTAAAACTGCTTGACTTTTTAAGTATTGAATAAAACCCCTCCAAACTACATGTTTTTGTGTTAGGGGACCTGAGGACAATTTTTTTTTTTAATAAATCAATTGATCAATCAATTTGTCCTCTTCTGGATGCTACTTAAAGATTTACCATACCGTCGAAGGATTTAAAAATCTCGGTCTGGATGGCAGACCAACAAGACAGATCCCAGGTACTCTGTTCAACCCCCAGAAAAGTTATAATTAGGGAACCTATGAGGGGCTACACCAGCCAGGTATATAATCTTCAGGCCTCTACATGTGCAGATGGAGTATATTCACAGAAGCATATTGGACCTCTTGCACCACTGGAGTGTTCCTGTGCCAAATATGTGATGGAATTCATCAAGGACTGGGCTCGTCACAGAGCAGAATCAGGCTATCCTCTGAATAACAACCAAAAACACATCCTGATAGGACTTCAATCACATGTAAATTGCGGACTTCCTCCGATGAACACATCGCGGCAAAACTAGGATTACTGTCCGTTGACAATTTCAAGAAATGGAATAATACACATGATAATAACGACATAGCAGGGACACTATGAACTCTGACGCAGGTTAGCGATAGTGTTCTTCCGATTAAACTCACCGCCGAGCGTATCCCCATGCCGCTAAACGCGGATGGGGAACTAAACTAGATGGCTAGACGGCGCAGGAGATACTCTTGGCAGTGAAAACTGTGTTACCAATGCAGCACCGACCATATTAAGCAGAGTTTCAATTGTGCCACAGCCACAAAGAGCAGATTTTCGGGCACTATTTTCAACTTCTGTGCAACTATTTTCAGAAATAATGAGGCCCTGCCAGGGTGTGTTTTTAGCCGCCACAATATGTGGCCGTTATTCGGAGGATAGCCCAGAATCAAGTCTATACAGTTGGATAACTGGGACAATGATCAAGTCTGGGTGAGTTTGTTGCTGTGGGCTTGTGTTACTCTACCCTCTCTGGTTATTGTGTAACACAGGTCTCTCTTAGCCTGGCTGCCTGCGATAATATGAAACTGACTAGTTGACAGTTGTACTTTTTGCTTGGACTGAGATGTGTCATGGTACATATTTAAATGTGCTGTTGATATTTCAGATGCTGTTTGAGATCAGTTCTGTAAATTGTAAGAATTTATATTTATTTTGTTATGGTGGTGGTGTTCTTCTTCTTCTTTTGTCATCTCACTTCTTTTTCTTTGCCTTCACCAGCTGTAAACTCTGGCGGAAAATTCTGGTTGTTCGTCTACTCCTGGTCTGCAGTCTTGTTCCAGAACCTGAGTGTTGCGTTTGCATCCATTTGACAGATCTGACGCATGTGTGTGCAGACTGTTGGTTTCTTGCCTCTCAGGCAGATGCACTCCGACTTTGAAGGAAGCTCTCAATTAGTCGACTCTTATGACATGCTTTTGGGTAGGCAGTGGGTCTATTCTTGTTTTCCCTAGAATAGGGCCCCGGAACCCACACGGGGAGGGGGTCATCTCACTGATACCAGGTTGTAGCAAAATGTTGAGGTTTCCTGTATTTGTCTTGCGCTTTTGTATGGCTTGGGTGATGGATTTGTTCCATCTTTTTTTTTTCCAGGTTTCGGCTACACCATTTACCCACTGTTTCTTTGTTTTCCTCGCAGATGTTCTGCTGTTAAAAGACTCCTATGCAGTTTGGCCTAGCTGCATTCTCACTAGATGGATGAATCATTTCATTCTGTTTGTATAACCTAGACATGCTCTTATTCCAACTTAATTTCAAATTTTGGTGCCCGTAACCCTGTCTCTTCTTGTGTTGTTAGTGATCTTGCGGAGACAGCACATTTCACATGTTGTTATAGTTACTTTCTGTTCTAGAGTGCCTTTTCAATATAATACACTGTGTTACTTACTACTTACGTTGTTACATTTCAACACTTCTTACCACTACTAGCATATCCGTATGGAGATTCAGAAGCTCCGTCGTCCATCCCTGAAAGCAATTCTTCTTTACCAACATCACTATCACCAACAAGTAAAAACTTTAACAGGTAATCGTAGGACTTATCCCTTGTTCTGTTGGTTGTTGCTGAAGCAGCAGCAGCAGCAGCCGCCGTCGGAGCAGAAACATGTGAACTGCGAAGTGGCGACGGCGACGAGTTTAAAGCAGCACACATTGTGCCCGTCTTTCTGATCAGTCGTCTAACCCATCACCCACCACATGAACATAGCATATACAGTTCCATTTAGCCAGAATGGTGTGGAGAAAGACTTATACAGACGTATGTTTATTGTTCGGCTACAATCGTTAACCGTTGGGTTGGCCGCCATTGACGTTTCTCTGATCGACTATAGCACATTTCCGGTTCTCTGGGGGTGTGTTTCCGGTCAGCTTTCTGTCTTGAACTGAAGTATACAATTTTAGATTTTCTTTTGGGCTCCTAAAATGAGTAACGTCTTCTTTTTAACGTTCATCGGTTGTAAACTCGGCAGAAAGTTCGGGTTGTTCGTCCAGTTCTGGAGGTTGGCTTTTTTCAAAATTTTGATTTACGTGCGCAGCCGTTTTACAAATCTGACGTATTTGTACTATTGTGAGTTTATCGCTATGTAGGAACATGCACTCCGACTTCGAATTAGTCACTTTTTACGACCCCCTCCCCTCCCCCTTCTGTTTTTCAAACCCTAATATGGAGCCGTAAAACCCACACTAGGAATTTAGTACCCTAATTGTATTTTTGTTTCTTTCAATATCCACAAACCATGAGTTGTTAACCTTTTGGATCGGTAATATGTATATTGCAACCCTGTGGCCTTGATTCCATGATAGAAACCTTAAATCTGTTAGTTTTTCTGCCTATTCCCGGGGGTGAACCTGGACCACAAGAAGATCGTCACCTGGTCGCCGCGCAGTCATGTTAACCGACTACGCCAAAGAGCCGAGCACCCTAATTGTATAAATTGGTTAAAACACAAGAAATGAACTTATCACATATGACAGAAACATCCAGCCTCCTAACCCCCCTCCCCCACTCTTCACCTTTCTCCGCACAAGTAATTATTGCATGTATTGAACTTGTTTTTTCGGTAGAGGTAGGGAGATTCTTAATAAATTCCGGGATTTAATGCCGCTTGGCTAGTAGTCACCACGGACTGTGCAGATTATAATATTTTAAAAATACATAACCACACCGAGGATTCGAACTTGATCTACCGCACGAGAGACCAGGGTTTTGAATCGTTCGGCCAGTCAACCTTTGGACGTTATTTTAATCAAAGTATGAGAGAAGTCGGTTACTGGAGTTCCTTGAGTTTTTTTTTTTTTTTTTTTTGACTCTGGGCTCTCAAGCCAGAGACCTGCGTTTGAGTCTTCGGTAAGGCTGGGAATTTTTTTTTTTTTTTCAGGACCAAAATAAAATCCTCACCTGCACAGTCGGGGCGGCAGTACCAGCCGTGACGTCGTAAATCCTCAGGCTCAAAGACACCCCTTTCTACACCGCAACCGACCCGTCTGCATCGAGATACCAGCTAAGTGATTATGTGTATCTATGTAGTATTGCTTAATTTGTATGTGCTGATGAAGGCTCCATAGCCGCAACGTTCGCGTTTTGTTTGTATTTGTTATATTGTGAAGCTTGCTAATATACTTTTCTTTCGGTTTTACATCTTTTCTTTGTATAATAAAGGCAGTAATTGAATTTTTTTTTTTTTTTTTTTAACTTCCTAAAATTACAAAATTTCATTCCCAATGGCAGACCAACAGGGCGAATCAGAAATATATCACTCAACCTGCAAAATGATTATAATTGCAGCACCCGTACCGGTACACCTGCTGACATGTCCAGGTTAGTTGCGTATCCTTTACAGGACGTTGCAGAACCAATCCCAACAGCCCCTGGCTGTTGTGTGGTTTTTCTAGGCAAAATTACGTCCAGTAATTTGCCGTTGCTTCCTGGACGGTCGGCTTTCTTGAGACCACTGTCGAAACCAAAGCAAGGCCCATGGCCCGCAGCTAGGATCGAACCCGTCAACCTGGCATTACGCAGCGTTCTCATCGACTTAGCCACAGAGCCAACAATTACTTTCTAGAAAAGGTTACCAGAGCTGGAGAAACCAGCTGCTTACGTCATCACTGCTGTGAATCCTAGCACGACTGGTACTGGTCATGGCCCTATAGCACACTCAGAAGTTTGGACACGCTGTGCTAGGTAATTTGTCATCATCTGTAGCTACAGATTCCAGTCCTTGGTGTTCTGGATCCATTCTACTGATGATATCCCTCCATGCCACTGTCTTAAGCCATCCACCATTGTTTCTCTTGGTTTGCCTATGCCAACGCCTTCTCTAATAAATAGAGAAGGCCCTGGCTTTTGCTACCAGTGATCTTCCCGTGCTCTTTTTCTCATTACATGACCAAAAAAGTTTTGTTTGCTAGGTAACTTTAATAAACAAACAGACCGATCGGCACTCAAAGAAAGAAGTAGAATGTTAGAAGGACATCCCTTTACAACATAAATTTAAAAAAAATCTATATTTACCGTTTAAACGGCGACTATCAATTGCTCTTCAAAGACTAAAACAACTGAATAAATTATGGAATTGTACAGATAGAATTACAAAGGTCAGATTTTTAAGAGCATGCATCTTTCCCATTGCAACATACGCATGTGAGACCTGGACACTTACTAAACAAGCGGAACAGCGCATAAATGCATTTGAATATAAATGTTACAGACAGGTTCTAAGAATATCTTGGGTAAAGAAAAGAACAAATGCATCCATACTTCAAGAGCTGAATATTGAAGAGGGTTGGCTAGTAAAGACAATGAAACAAAGAAAATTGAAATATTTTGGTCACTTGAAACGTCATGGAAGTCTAGAGAGAACAATAATGGAGGGGTATATGCCTGGGAAGAGAGGAAGAGGAAGGCCAAGGAGAAGATGGGTGCAGGATGTGGCAGATGATCTCCAGATGGGTGTATCAGACGCAGGACATCTTGCTCAGGATAGGAAGGTTTTCCGGAGGGTTGTTATGGCAGCGAGGTTCCGCGAGGGACATGCTACTGAATGAATGAATATTTACCGTATCGGCTCTGTGGCTAAGTCGATGCGAACGCTTCGTAATGCTCGGATGCCAGGTTCGATCCCAGCTGCGGGCCATGCGCCTTGCGCTTGTTTCGACAGTGGTATCAAAAAAGCAATGACAATCTACTGGACGTAAATTTGCCTAGAAAAACCACACAATAGTCAGGGGCAGTTGGGGTTGGTGCTGCAACGTCCTGTAAAGGATACGCAAACTAACCATACTTACCGTGCCGGGAATCGAAACTGTCACCTCCAGATATCGTGTGCGCTTAGCCATGGAAACAAGTGTACTAAGAACACGACCAACTTGGCACCTCTAAAAAAATTGTGTCTTTACTGGATATGTCTATCGTACAGCCTGAAATCCACAACTGTGGAATACAAACAGAATCCATATCAAACTACTGAAACTGCACCATGGGTTACATAAATTTATGTATTAACCAAGCATAGGTCGAATAACAAATACAGCAACAATTTACAAACAAAATAGACCGTAATGCTTTGTCTAAAAAAAACACAAACATTTAAAAAAGAGATTTGATTGGTGGGTTCCGTTGTGTTACGCGTCATTCACATTTAAAAAAAAAAAAGAAAAGAGAGGCAACCCTTAGGGCCGAAGAAAATTTATATATGTAATAAACAGACAATGTATTGATTTGCACTCACAGAAAGAAGTAGAAACATAGAAGAACACCCTAGACAACATAAACATTGAAAGCTATAGTTAACTTATTTATGTGCCAGGTTATGGCAGCGATGAACATGGAGCAGACAATGCGTTCACACTTTACCAGCACTTAATCATCTCAGTGATTAATTATGGATTGGGGTTACTCACTGTCTCAAAGAGTCAGCTAGAGAAACTGGAGAACATTCAGTATAAAGCTACGTGGGTGCTCCTGTGATGTATGCATGAGATACATCCTTGAATTGCCGCCATAGTTGCTGCAGGCTGTCATACCTCAGAGTAGCAGCAAAGAACACCCTCTGTATGAAGCTTTGGCTGCATGTAAGGGTCAGAGGCTGAAAAAGGAAAAGTCGTGGATGGCTCAAGCAGAAGACACAATAAGACAAGTATGCATGCTGGAGAACATTAAGCGAGGAGAAGAGTGGGTCAGAGTACCAGAGGAAAAGTCTGACGTGTAGGGTTATGATCACATTGGACCGGGAGTGCAGAGAGTGGCCAGCGGGTGCTAAGGAGGTGGAAGTCAAACAGTTGATTCACGACAATTCACGACTGACTGACTGACTTTATACTGGTTCCCCCCCCCCCCCCAGGACATCACACAAGCGATAAACACCTGATGACTCAATGTGCCACCATGTGGATGAGGATCACCGTGGAGAGGTCCCAGAAACCGCGTTCAGCCATTAGGCTATATTGCGGCCCCTGGCATGAGCCAGAGTGGAGCTTCAAATAACGACAAATTGCATCCTAAAAAGGACGGCAAAACAAGTAATCGGATTATTTATACAGATGGTTCGGTGTTGGGAGGAAAGAGAAATGCATGGGGGTACAGTGCAAATGCCAATGGAAAATCTTCAGTGCAAGACAGCCTAGCATATGACACCACAACATCTAACATGAGAATAGAGGTGAAGGCGGTAACTGCAGCTTTCCGGTGGCTAGAGAACAAGATACATACACGTGTCGTAATTGTCATCATCATCATCATAAACCACTTCTATCGTTAAGCGTCGTGGGGAGTAATAATTTGCGATCCATTGCACGTTGGCTTCCACTGGCTATTGTCATGCCGTGAAGGCGTATAGTGTCATTAATGTTGTCGACCCATGTTTTCCGCGGCTGTTCTCTTGCTCTTGTAGTTGATCTTCTGATATGTAGTGCTTGTGATGGTATTTGATCTTGCTGCATTCTAACGAGATGGCCAAACCACTTGATCTGCTGTTTTTCGATGAATCTAGTACAAGGTGTCGTTCCCACAATTTGCCTGTAAGTTTCATTATTCACTCGATCTCGTATGGTTAGGTTGGCTGCTTTTCTCAGGCACCTTATCTCGCAGGTGGTAATTTTGCGTATATGGGCTTTAGATAATGTCCATGTTTGGCACTAGTAGCTTAATGTTGGAAT